TCATTTTTTTTTTTTTTTTTTTGTACTGGGGATCGAAATCAGGACCTTGTTCTTTTGAGGCAGACACGACACCACTGAGCTAAATCCCCACCCACATATTTTGAATATTACCCATCTCACCTTGAAAACATATTTCCAAAACCCTTTGTGCTAACTGATAAATCTCCTGATACACATTTGGATAGTGTGATTTGAAAGGTTTCAGTGTCTTAGTGGCCCTGAATGTGAGTTACTACCTGTCAGGGGATCTACTACATGTGTTAACGAAGTGCTTTCCTTCACTGTTTTGGGATAAACAATATGCAGTGTAAGAACGTAATATAGGGCAAGATTTTCTCAGTTTAATATTATACTAGAAAAAATAATATAGCTGGTGAATGAAAGCCTGTGACTTTACATTTATTTGTTAATAGCACATATGTTAGTCAATATGGCAGAAGCACAGACATGTCCAGGATTACTGAAGTTATCTTTTCTTGATAGAATTTTGCTGTTAACTCTTTTCTCACTTGTTTATGTTGTGAGTGGGTGTCGGTCTTACACACTATAAACTAGTTTTCTTTGTTTCTTGTTAAAATATCATCCCGAGGAAAAAAACTTTACCTTCATTATAGCTAAATGATGCCATAGAAAATTTTAGATGTTTAAATTTAAACGACCTTCAGTTTTACAGAACTTTATGAAATATTCCTAAGGTAATAAGACCAACTTATGAAGGGCCAGGGATTTAGCTCAGTGGTTTTGCCACCTGCCTCACAAGCACAAGGACCCAAGTTCGATCCTGGGTACCAAAAAAAAACCAACTTATGAAATGTTAGTTTATCTTAGTGATTGTTTTCACTTAAAGCATTTTCAGTAACATCAGTATTGAAATAAAAGTAATATAATAATAATAGCTGAAAAGTATATGGCTTAATTATATATAAAGATTCTAAAAGTAAAATTTATATCATTGTTAGTGAGAAATGTGTTTTATGCTATGGGTGTATTAGAATCTGTGAAAATGGGGTTCTCTCTCTTGTCCGCCACAGAGGGGTGACAGCTGCGTGGCACACACATGAAGTGACCTGCAGTTGGCCCCCTTAAAGGTGAGAGTCTTGGAATCTACTTGTTTCGGCCTTGGCACTGCTGTGTTGGCTCCGTCTTTGAAGAGATGGCAGCCCCAGCCTGCGCCCACTCTGCAGGGCAGAAGTATGTAACCCGTGCCATTGCTGTTCTCATGGTGGGGACTCTGGACCAGGGTAGAACTCACCGACCACACCTACAACATTCGAGGGCAAGATTTGAGTCTTTCTGTCTCCCTTCCTCCCTCTATTGCTATTCCTTTTCCTTCCCTCTTCCCCCACCCTCTCCTCCTTTCTCTCCCTCTCTCATTGAAGTAAGTGCTGCACCACTGAGCCGTATTCCCAGCCCCTTCCCGTTGCTCTCCCTGAGTTGCCCTGGCTGGCCTCCAATGTGCGCTTCTCCCATCTCAGCTTTTCTTTCCTTTTTAATTGAAAGTTTTCAAACATGTAAAATTTCTAGCCGGGTGTGGTGGCGCACACCTGTAATCCCAGCACTCAGGCGGCTGAGGCAGCAGAATCGCTGTGAGTTCGAGTCCAGCCTGGGCTACATAGTGAGTTCCAGGTCAGTCTCAACTACATAGAGAGACTCTGTCTCAAAAAAACAAACAAATAAACAAAACAATCAAACTTCTGGAATGGTGGCAGGGGAGGGTGACCCTTCCTCAAAAAAGCTATTCCCCTTCTAGGTATCATCCCCAAAGAGTTAAAACATCACACTGATGCATTCACACCCATGTTTATATCAGCACAATTCTTAATAGCTAAATCTTGGAAGCAGCCTATATGTCCATCAACAGACAAATGGATAAAGAAAGGTATTTGCACCAGCCATGGTGGTACATTACCTGTAACTCCAGCCCTTGGGAAGCTGAGGCAGGAGGATTGCTGTTTGAGGCCAGCTTGGGTTACATAGTGAATTTAAAACTAGCCTGAACTCCATAGTGAGACTGAGATAGGAGATTAGGGCGTGACAAAGCTGGCTAAAGTGATCTGTTAATTACAAGATCCTGAGAGACAAGTGCAGAACAGTTCTCAAAACCCCACATGTGGGCATCTCACAAAAACTCCCCCAGGTTTTCAGTAGCCCTAGACCTGACCTTAGCCTGAGTTGTGGGTTCACAGCACCCTCTCAGATGTGCTCAATCCCCCAGATGTGTAAGTTCTGGCAGATTTCCTTGAGATTTGGACAGCATAAAAGGACACAACATCAAAAAGAGCTTGCTATCTTGGCTTCCTCATAAAACCTACCCTGCTTTCTCCAGGATATTCATCTTTTCATGTCCCTGTTTTACTCAGTCAAAGCTTGCTCTGCAGAGCCAATTTCTCCCTCATTCTTCACTTTTACTTTTTCAAATAAACTGCCCCTGTTTTTTTGAGACAGGGTCTCCCTGTGTAGCTCAGGTTGGCCTCAAACTCATGGTGATCCTCCCGCCTCACCCTCCCAAGTAATGGAATTATAGATGTGTGCCACCATGCCCTGCTAGTTTTTTTTTTCCCCATTACCGGAGATCAAAGTTAGCACCTTGTGCTTTGAAGGCAGACAGGCACCACTGAGCTAAATCCCCCGCCCCAGTTTATTATTCTTTGTGAGATGCAAACGAAATGTGTATTGAAGTACTTTATTCTTTCCCAATGTAACACTGCCCTCCACCATACTCCCCCATTCCCTGTGTCTCACCACCAACCTACGGCCTTGCCTACGCAAGTTAAATGCAGTACTACTGAGCTACGCTCCCACCCACTACCTCAAAGTTCCATGGTTTGGTGTGTTTTGCTTTTTGTTTGCACTGGGAATCAAACTCAGGACCTTGCAGTTGCAAGGCAGGCGTGGTGCCACTGTGCTAAATCCCTGGCCCGTGGTGTGGTTTATCGAGACAGGGTCTTGGTATGCAGTTCAGAGTGGCCTTGAACTCAACACGTAGCCCGATGCTCGAACTCGAACCAATCTTCTCACTTCATCTCCCAGAGCGCTGGAATTACAGGCACGCACCACCATGCCCAGTGAACATGTGATATACAGCGAGTGGAGAGTGCTAGCTCTGGCGGCATGCATGTACATGTATGTATGTATAGCAGAATCCTACTTAGCTATAAAGAAGGCTGAAATTTGAGTTATTTGTTGGAAAATCGATGCACTTTAGGTTGTTTTGGGGGGTACTGGGGATCGAACTTCAGACCTTGCTCTTTCAAGGCAGGCAGCAGCACCACTGAGCTAAATCCCTGTCCCCCTTGTTTTTGTTTTTTGAGATAGGGTCTCAGGGTATATAGATCAGGCTGGCCTTGAACTCACTATGTAACTCAGGCTGGCCTTAAACTCACAGTGATTCTCCTGTCTCAGCCTCCCAAGTTCTGCAATTACAAGTGTGGATGCACTATGAAACCATAATGCTAAGTGAAATAAATCAGAGAAATTTACATATCGCGTGGTTTTTCTTTTTTGTTTGTTTGTTTTTTGAGACAGGGTCTCACTATGTAGTTGAGACTGACCTGGAACTCACTGTGTAGCCCAGGCGGGTCTTGAACTCAGTGATCCTCCTGCCTCAGCCTCCTGAGCGTTGCAATTACAGGTGTGCGCCACCACACTCGGCTTGAGTGTTTTTCCTTATCTGAGGAACCCAAAGTGTAAGTCATGTAAAGAGCAAAATAAAAGATACAGAAAGGGAGGTAAAGCTTGTGTGGATGGGAGGGGATCTAGGGATGGAATGAGGGGGAAGGAAGGGAAAGGGGAAATGAAAAGGATTAAGATGAGACATGTATGTCTCTCACTGCTTGGGACCAAACCCAGGGCCCTGTGTATGCACTGAAACACATCCCAGCCCCCAGGAGTAAAACTTCTAATAGAACATTTTGTCTAAACCAAATCTGACACTTTCATTGGTCCTAAGAAAAGATCAAATCTGTGAGATAATTTTGTTGTTTGAAAAACATAGCTGGGCGTGGTAGTGCCCACCTGTAATCCCAGTACTTGGGAGGCTGAGGCAGACGGACTTTGGTGAGTTCCAGGCCAGCCTGAACTCCACTGCCTCAAAAAATTTTTTTTGGTTATTCCTGTCCTTGTACCAACCAAAGGCTACATGAACTATACCATACCTGACACACAGCGGTTGCTTTATAAACATCCATGAATGAATGAACCTCTCCTGTGCCCCACTTTCCTCCCCCATAAAAGCAGATCCACCTGTGACCCCAGGCGGATGGAAGTCAGCCTGGGTGAAGAGAGAAAAGGCCCAGGCTCTACCTGGTGTTCCCACGGAGCCCGCGTGAACAGGGAGCCACGCCTGCACTCCGCTTTCCTCCTCGTTTTCCCCACTGTGCAGCTGGCGAGGGCACGCAGACACCTCAAGGACGACAGCAGGCGCGGGCGTGGCGCACAGCGGCCTTTAATGTGCGCGGCAGCGTGCAGAGCGACAGTGGGGGGCGGGAGACAG